ATCTCTTCATGTTCTTTCTTCTCCTTGTCATTCAACATGAAATTCTCTATCACCTTCAGATGCTTCGACAACACTGTCTTCTTTCTTGAAGCGAATTCATCTAATGATGATGGAACATGGCCTTTGTGTTTGTCTTTTAGGCAAGTTAGACATATCACTGCTTCACAGTTCTCACAAAATAGCTCTAACCTTTGATTTGGATGATTTTTACAATGCTTTTCTCTCGTTATTATCAGTTCGATATCTTCTTTCTTCAAATCGGCCAGACGAATGACCTTGTGGTCTTTTATAAACAATGAATGGTTTCGTTCGCACTCGTCACACATCGAGCGATCACAGTCAAAGCAGTACAAAGAGGCTGCAGAATGGCTCTCAGAAACAGAACAAGCTTTTCTGCCTTCTGTTAAGGCCAGACCCTTCAAGATTCTTGAATGAAGAACACTTGATTTTAGATCTTCCACGCTGTTTAGTTCTGGCAGAGGAGTTAGTGATTTGCATCGAGGACACTTGAAGACGTTGACGTCCTCGATCAGCTCTGCGTGTCTTTTGATACAAGGTTTACAAAATATATGAAAACATTTCAAGATCTTGGGTTCAGTCAATGTATCATTACACAAGGAACATTGAACGTCCTTCTTGAGGTCTGTAAGGAAAGATTCCATGTTGTTAGTTGTCTTCAGAGTTGGTTGCCTCGAGTCACGTGACCTCCTTTGACTCACGATTTCCTAGAAATTGTGTCAATTTTCAGTCGTAGGGGACCACCCAGAGATTCCTCAAGCATAATAATAATAAGGCCTGGGATTTCGTTCAAAAGGGCAAAGATTACTTTTTACTGTAGATTCCTCCTTTTTAGATGTAATTGAATGAGATTGCAACTGTTATCCTTATTTGGGGTGCTTAACTTTTTGGATGGATAATTTTGCGTAAAAGGTGGTCACGTGACCTTAAGAGAGGAAAGATGCTAAATTAAAAACTAGGTGATGGTTATAGATTATTTGTGAGATTTCTTTAGCTTGTTTGAAAGAAGCGACAAAGATACAGATATTCACGTTTGGAATGGTCGACCAAAATGCTTACGAAAGGAGAGAAATGGGCATAAAGAATATTTTGACAGGTCACGTGACCTGTTTGGTCAAATATCTCCTTAACACAAAACCTTAGCCAGCCATTCTCAACGTCCATTGAACGGCTTCAGGAAAAGAAAAAAATTGAGGTTGAAAACGTTCAGCAAAGACTTATGTTGAGCACCTACTATTAAAATAAATGTTTATGTACATTTTATGTAAATTTCGTGGTCACGTGACTTAAATTTTTCCCATATTTTTGAACCAATTTGTTAAGAACCACGATGTAAGAAAGTTTGAGAAAGCTGGTTATACTATAAGCAGAAACACCAGAGAAATTATTTTTTAATGGTTTAATAGAGAATTGGTTCACAACCCAGGCCTCCCTGGGTTACATACTTAAATTTTATTTCAACACGATAAGTGATTAAAGCATACCCTTATGGGGTCTTTCCTTATTATTTCCACTCTGGAATTCTTTAGGACAAATGTGAACCAACAAACATCAACCGAAGTTTATAAAGATCGTGTCTGCTTTTATGGAAATTAAAGTGCGTACCAGCTATCCGTGAAAAACTTTGTAAGAAATTGCACAAATTAGTCAAAGTTCAGTAGACCGTAGACCTACAAAACTTGGCATTAATTTGTACAATTTTGTTAGGTTTTTTTCCACTGTCGGTCATATATACCCGAGATGGCGATCGCACAATTTCTGGACGGAACTCACTGAAGATACTCAGCAAATTAAAGAAACAGCTCTTTTGATGAATCATTTGAACCCTCCAAAATCTTTTAAAACCTTAACCTAAATTAATTGATTGATTGAATTAAAAAAATCCCTTCAGTGCATGGATGAAGCAGAGGTCTGTCTGCAGTTTTACTTAAAAAAATGCACTCCATAACCGTATGAAGTAATTAATACTTGGCCATCATTCATAATCGTTATATAAACAGGACCATCGACTTTATTACAAGTCTTGCCTACTAAACGACCATCCAAGGTGAACTTTTGGATGCGTTTATTAGCATGATCACAGACCAGTAGATGATTATCCTTATCGATAGCCAGGCCCCATGGTTCATTCAGCTGACCGTCAGCACTGCCGTATCCGCCAATCGTCGATATTCTAGTAGGTACACCATCTTTCTTCTCAAATACATGAATGACGTGATTACCATCATCACTTACGTAAAACAGTCCATCTTGTGTTACTATACAGAGGGGACAAAAGTTGTCTTCTTCTTTCAAACTAAACTGATATTGATATTCACCGTCTTTTGTGAATACCTGAACACGATTATTACCATAATCACAAACCATGATGTTCCCGTCGTCATCAACGTGGACTCCATTTGGAGAACCAAACTTTCCATCTCCTTTACCTTGGTTACCAAAGGTCTTTACCAATGTCCCTGTTGTAGTGTTCAGTATACATATTCTATGATTATTTCGATCTGCTATGACTAAATCTGTATCATTCAGAAATGCTAAACCTTCAGGGTTATTTAGCTGTCCCTCACCACTACCTTGACTACCATACGTCAGTAAGAGATGTCCATCAGTGGTGAATACATGCACACAGTGCGCAGACTCATCTGCAACAGCTATTCTACCGTTTTCTTTATTCACTGCTATACCATTCACATTTTTAGGTTGTGTACTATTTAATCTTTTAATTTTAAAGTTTTTGACGGTTCTCTCYATCTTCTGTGGCTTGACATTCATCACTAGTGGACTGTTAGATACATGATTCCCATTCACTTGAACCTCAGCTGTCAGTTGACCAGTTACTTTAGCCATGAACTCCACTTCTATTTTACAATCATTGGTTACAGATTTCTTTTTCGTTACCACATCATCTTCAGGGCCGATTTTAACGTCCACAACATCCATTGGATCATGACTAAGTTCTCCTGTAGAGGTTTTAGATATCAATTTGAGCTTTCCCTGTCTTAAAGCTTCTGGCTCAGACTCTAAGCAAATAGTGCTCATCGTGTGGTCTGTTTTAGAATAAGACTGTATTTCTCCCAGTCCTGTGTTTACCTCTTGCATCAATGCTTCATTTGGAACAAAGACGATTCTCAAGTATCGTGAAATCGGATTTAAGATATATTCCTCAGAGCATTCTGTTTCTTGAATATTTATAATTTCGCTTGCCAGTCCTCTTTCCATCATCCTATTGATGTGTTCCTTGACTGCTGGCATGTGATGAATTATGTTCAAGTTTCTTTCGGCATTTTCCAATCTCTCTACGACTTGCTTTATCAACTCTCGTTCTTTTTCTCGGAGATTCTCGATCATTCTCTTTGTTTTCTCTTGTATTTCTTTCAAAGCTTTTTCTCCTTGCTGTTTTATTTTGTAAGTTATCTCTTCATGTTCTTTCTTCTCCTTGTCATTCAACATGAAATTCTCTATCACCTTCAGATGCTTCGACAACACTGTCTTCTTTTTTGAAGCGAATTCATCTAATGATGATGGAACATGGCCTTTGTGTTTGTCTTTCAGGCAAGCTAGACATATCACTGCTTCACAGTTCTCACAAAATAGCTCTAACCTTTGATTTGGATGGTTTCCACAATGATTTTCTCTTGTTATTATCAATTCGAAATCTTCTTTCTTTAAATTAGCCAGACGAATGACCTTGTGGTCTTTGGTAAACACTGAATGGCTATGTTCGCACTCGTCACACATCGAGTGATCACAGTCAAAGCAGTACAAAGAGGCTGCAGAATGGCTCTCAGAAACAGAACAAGCCTTTCTGCCTTCTGTTAAGGCCAGACCCTTCAAGATTCTTGAATGAAGAACACTTGGTTTGAGATCTTCCACGCTGTTTATTTCTGGCAAAGGAGTTTCTGATTTACATCTAGGACACTTGAACGCGTTGACTTCCTCGACCAGCTCAGCGTGTCTTTTGATACAAGGATCGCAAAATATATGAAAACATTTCAAGATCTTGGGTTCAGTCAATGCATCATTACACAAGGAACATTGAACGTCCTTTTTGATGTCTGTAAGGAAAGATTCCATGTTGTTAGGAACTGTCTACAGTTGCTTTAATCTCGAGTCCTGCCTTTCTTGGAAATTCACGTGACCTACTTCGACCCACGATTTCCTAGAAATTCACCTTTGTTGCATTATGTTACGGTCACCAAACGGTTCGGTTATCGTTCTTGGATTCCCATACAAATTCACCGAGTTTAAAGAGAAAATTTAGATAGATTAATTAAGAAAAGCTTCAATCAAGTTAGAAAAATGATATTTTACTTGTATTTAGAACTAACTAAGCAAACCAAGTAAATAGTTCATTTAAAGAAGTCAGTACATTTGTACGGAAGTTCGAGAACTGTCCGAACTTCTTGGTGACCGTAACATAATTTACACCGCGCGACGGCTCGCGCCGAAAAGGTGAAATTGACATTGAAATGAACCACACAKGGGGTCCTTAAATGTTTCTTATTATTTCCACTCTGGAATTCTTTAGGACAAATGTGAACCAAGAGATATCTACCGAAGTTTTTAGAGACCGTGTCTGCTTTTATGGAAATTAAAGTGCGTACCAGCTATCCGTGAAAAACTTTGTAAGAAATTGCACAAATTAGTCAAAGTTCAGTAGACCGTAGACCTACAAAACTTAGCATTAATTTGTACAATTTTGTTAGGTTTTTTTCACGGATATATACGATATGCATTCTATCTTTCCAAGGTTATATATGCCCGAGATGGCTATCGCACAATTTCTGGACAGAACTCACTGAAGATACTCAGCAAATTAAAAAAAAAATACACAGAATTCTGATAGCTTTCATAAATTTATTTGATGGCATGACTCAGCACAAGGATACAGCCATTGCAGATTTAAATGTAGAATGTTTAATCACAAGGGTCAAGTATGAATAATCGATACAGATAAATATGTCAACTACTGCTTACCAAAACCCGGAAGAATTATTTCATTTTAACCCTTACACCGATCTCTCCAACTATTCAATGCTTTGTTGTTTTTAAAGGAAAGTCCGCCATTATAACTTCTGGCTCACTGGTTGTGTGAATCAATATAAACCCAAAAATCTGTATACAGTCGACTTTAAAAAAAACGGAGTTCGTCATTCTGAAAACAACCCTGGATCAACGTTTAATGCTTTTATAGTAATAGTTGGAAATCTACTTCACTGTCACTGAATATGCTATGTGTAAATATTGTAATGTAGCTATGATACTCAGAAACAACCCTGATCAACACCTAACGGTTTCATATCACTGTAGAAAAACTACTTATATACGTTATGCGTAATTGGTATAGAGGTAAGAGTGTAAATATATGGGGGAGGGGAGGGGTATAGTAATGTTTGAAGTCAGCTCCGTTTTCTACTCCTGTTCTCCCTCTTGTTCGTTATTTTGATCACGTTCTGGAGACTTGTCTCCATTCTCAGCCATATGCTCCTCTTTAGCTGGTGATTGAGATCTAGATCGCGATGCAGATTTTCTTGGGGAAGCCGATCGCGACCTTGACTTGGAGCGAGATTTGGATCGGGATCGGGAACGGGATTTTGAGCGGGATCGGGAATGCCTTGGCGAGCGGGATCTTGATCGTTTGGGAGACAGGGATCGAGACCTCTTACGAGAACGAGAGCGTGATCGCCTTGGAGAACGTGAGCGTGATCGGGAACGAGATCTTGATCGAGAACGTGATCTCGAGCGATTACGACGGCGACGAGAGCGGGACCTGGAACGTGACCTGGATCGGGACCTACGATGAACAACAATCCATTAAAATAATAGTTTATATGAATCAAAAATTCAAGAAAATTTAACACAGGTTGTGGCATCATTTTGTTTACAAGTCTCAAGATTTAGTTGCAAACGCACGAAATAAGTTAGAATGTAGGATGTAGGATCCTAATGCCAGGGAGTAGACTTTCCAGTCTTCCAATATTTGGAGAGTAAAAAAAAAAAAAAAAAAAAAAAAAAAAAAAAAAAAAAAAAAAAAAAGCAAAAATTATGGTAAAAAGGATGGCTCAAGTATCAATTGATTATATGAAATAAGTTATATTGACTATTTAACGATGATATTGGAGATTAAGATTACTAATGATCAGCTAGAATAAGAGCGGAATAAGTCATCATTCAGCCCCTCTTTAAATTTATTTCTATTTTTTAATTTTTTCAAATTTTCATCAATTGAATTCCAGNAAAAAAAAAAAAAAAAAAAAAAAAAAAAAAAGCAAAAGCAAAGGAAGTCTATTTTTTAAATTCTTACACAGGTAAATACCAAAAACGGTTTTTATAAACATATAAAGTAAACATACATACAAATAATCAGAGAAACAAACAAACAAATAAAAAAATAAGGATACTGACTAACCTTGATCGACTAACACTACGGGATCTTGACCTTGAACGAGAAGCTGGACTTTCCTGATCAATGAAGATAACAAGTCATTAAAATGCTAGTCCCTCTTAAGAGTAAACTCAAAGTTTGCTTCCTTTCTCGAATTTTATTAGTACAATAAAAGCAAACCTTTGAGCTGATCAAAATATGGGAATGGCTAACTCACAGATCAAATTGGAATAAATATTAGGTATGTGGAGAGAAGAAAAATTGTGAGCCCAGAGAAAAACCCTTGAATCGAGGGAGATAGTACGTAACAAACTCTACTTATGTGACTTGCATGGACCAGAGGGGAGGACAAGTGCACTAACCACTACACCACCCTTGATTCCTTTCCCTAAGGAATAATTGTAATCAATTACTTACATCAATAATTTTGATACGCCTTCCACAGAGCTCTGTACCGTCCAGTTTCCTAATCGCTCTTTTCAGATCCCTCTTGGATTTGAATTCAATGATACTGTGGAAGAAAAGACCAGACATTTATAAAAAGTTTGACATGAAAGTCCAAGCTCTAAATAAAACTTACTGTTGTATGAATCAAGAATAGACCATCATGCTTTTTGGTTGCAAAATATTCGGCCAGACAAAAAAATAAGTGTGTTTCCTGTTGCATGAGAAAAATAATTGGGGTCGGTAAGTCAGATTTATTTACTGATACGACAGTGGAAATTAGCTTACTGGGAACCCTGTGGTGGATTTGGGAATGAAAAAAATATCAGGGTCTGCAAAAATCGGCAAGAAAATTAGGGTCGGTTGCGCAACAGGAAACACAATTAGTTTTTTGTTTGGTCTTATATCAATGGCTTACCCTTCTCCCTGTCTTTGCTTGTGTGCATCTCCATATGCCACTTCGCCAACTTGCCGAGCATAATCCTTGAGATCCTATCAACATTAACACCAATATAAACACAAAGTCCAACACAAAACTACTAAATAAAATCAACCTTTTAAAAAACTGAAATACATTCTGGTGACTAACAAAGAGAAAAGCTAAATGGTAATAGACCTTCATTTCTTAATACTTAACAATTATTTAGTCTACAGTTATTTTCATTCTAGGCACAGTCCATTGCTTATAATTTTTTGTAGAATATGTGAATACACAACAGTTGATATATACAGGCATTGTATGTGGTCACGTCTCACAGAAGCTGACATCAGTATGGTCTGTTGTCTAACCATTTCAGTCACAATAGGAAGTTGTCATCTTAGTATCACAATGTATGCCAATTCTTTAAGCCTCAAATGTCAACCCTCAGTGTCATCTGTGCATCTTTAGAACTGAGCCTCTGGCCCTAAGCTTCAAGGGGTTTCCCCTCATTTTGACTGACTGACACACATCAAGCATCTACTCATCTAATCATCTAGACCTCATACATCTAGACATCTTTGGGGCTGAAATATTGGAGGGTAAAACAATGAATACCAACCAAAATGATTCAGGCAGTCCAATAAATAGTTACATGTATACAGTATAAGTATTATAAAATACTATAAGACATTTGTATGATTTTCTATACTTTTCAAACTTTTTTTTAATTGCTGGTTTGGATTCAGATTCCTCAAATGTAGTAGTAATCCAAATTTCAATGCACATAATTTTAGTCTAGAGCTTATGTAAAATTTAAACTTAAAAGTAAAGAAGAACGCAGGCAGTTGTCTCACTATCTGGTGGAATTTTGGCATGCTTGATAATGAATGTTATTCCCAATCTTTCTCATAATGACCAGTTGAGAGATCGTGTCAACTTCACTTTTATGCACACAGTTTCCGTCTTCATTAATTAAAATTGTAACTACAAAGGTTTTATAGGTTGTTTACCTGCCATGAAACTCTGCTTGATAGATTTTCAATGACCATGCGCCATGGTGTTCGCGTTGGAGGTCCATACCTGGAATAAATAGATCATTTAGATTAGGTGCTATTACTTCCAATACAAGTCGTAGTAGTAAACAGTAACCAAAAAAAGTTTCAATGTTTTAAGAATTAACCCCATAGAGCCCCAAATGCCTTTTAATCTAAAAATTTTGCTGTCAAAAGAAAAATTGTCAAACTTTTTTCAATAATTGAAAGCAGCATGGGAGCAAAACAGTTTACAGCTCAAATTTTGAACATGCACAGACTAAATCTCTGTTGCTGGACCTCAGAATATTCTTACTGAATGAATTTCATGAATCTCATTACCAGCCTGCTCAATCATCCATGGATGTATATTTACAATATTATTATATTTACACACAAGTCCACAAATGTTATCTTTGAAAGCAACCTTTTCAACTAGAAATACCTAGAAATCTTCACACCCCAACTACCATCTATGATGGTGGTATGAATATATCCAATAAGTATGAGATGGTTAACAGGACTTACTTGTCTCTTGCGCGCGAGGGTTTCGTGCTGCTATATCCTCTGGCTGTACCACGGGAATGCTCAACAAGAATCCTACAAATAAAAATGGAAATATTTAATAACTTATGAACCTCAGTTATATGAAGTGTTTTGACTTATAAGTACAGTGATGTATCTATTACTGAAAACCCTTCATCAAATGGGCCACAAGTTTCACTGTCCAAAATTTTCCCCCCTATATTACACATTCTATATGATTCAATAGGAGCACTATTGTAGAGGGCTAAAATTGAAGACTGGTCAGCCACCAGTCATGGCCAGCCAAATTTACTTTGGTCATATCTTATTTCTGGCTCAATGGTACTGGTAAAAATGACCGGCAATGCTAAAGTCAATTCTTATTCTTAGCCCTGATTGTAATTTTCTCTACACTTCATATTATCCACTAAAGCCCAACTTAGCTGCAGCTAAAGACAATTCCTGAGTAAAACAATTGTGGGGGAGGGGGGGTTAACAGGTTAACCTTAATTACATTTACTGTAATAACCATACTTTTACCTTTCTCCGAGCAATTCTTTCCCATTGCAATCATAGACAGCGTCATCGGCATCTCTTGAGTCTTCAAATTCCTTCGAAAGAAAATAAAAATTAACATCAGCAAAATATTATCGAACTAACCCTGGTTTACATGAAGTCAGCAAAAATTTTTGACTTCTAATCTGCTGTTCCCAAGTGGTGGAATTTTTATTCTCTGAGAGCAATTTTCAAAATCAAGAAAGCCAAGAATATCAAAAACAAACAGCTGCCTCTATTAATACTCAAAACGAGATATTTACCACAAATCCGTATCCGTTTTTCAGGTTTATCTCTCGAAGACGGCCATACGAACGAAAGAACTTCTTCACATGGTCTTCTCTCGTGCCGTATGGCAAACGTCCTAAATACACTCGACAACTCATCTTTAAAATGCTTTAAAAAACTTCAGAAGAACAGAATAGTTCTTCCACCAGTTACAAAGGTAAAGTTAAGATGAGAAAAATGGTTAAAAGTCACCTAAAACGTTGAAGGAAAGAGCAGTCGAAATTTTCAAGGACAAGGAAAAATGGCGTCCTACTAATTCGCTTACCGCGAGGAATCAAACCACGTGGTTGTTGTTAGCCAATCAAACCTCTTCTACACACGTGATTTATACTAGTTTTTAACCTCCCTCGTTTATTCGTTACCAAAGGGATCCCAGCAAGGAATAAAAACATGGATGGAAATGAGAGCATTCCAGAAACATTGAAGTTTGGAAGTTTGGAAGAAAGAAGCATTTGTGGGAGATTTTTGTATTATGAATTGTATTTGTGGAAATTAGATAATGCACCGAAAGACATTCATAAATTCTGTGATCCTAAGATTGATGAAAAGTTGAGAGAAAAATTGATAAGATGGATAAGGTATGCTAGCTGGCCCTGAAGTAATGAAAAAATTTTCCATGGAATTTTTTAGGAAGAAAATTTATAGATCTAGGATAAGGAGGGTGGAGAGAGTGTAATTGACTGAAACATTTCATACTCTCCCCRGAAAATATGCATGTCGCACTTTGCCATGCTTGCTACCCCCTAGTTTTGCTAATTGCTAGCATTATTAAATGGATAAGAATTAGTCATCATTCTTCTATTCCCTACACTCTTCTAAGTCTTCCTTGCAGAGTGGACTCTGGGTCTGGTGTTGTGAGCTATTTTCATTTTATGATTTCAGGGATGTTGATGACAGGACCTCTTGCCAGAGTCTGCAGATTCTTTTCTCTTTTTCAATCCCTTCTCCATTAGCAATAGAGAAAATTCTCAGTTTGCATTTACCCATTATATCAGCTGGAGCCGTAAGTTGTCAACATGTTGATTAAATAATGAGGACTGATTGATATGCCTATATATGGCCTTGGGAATCAAGGTTAATGGAGTACTGTAGTAGAAGTGCACTCTCCTCTGGAGTCTTAGGTGGATTTCTCATAATCTCAACTCAAGGGTATTCTCCAGATTCTCTGATTTTCATCTCCAAAACCCAACATGTTATATTGCAATTCAAATCTGTGAGGTGTCCTGGTCACACAGTTCAGATTGTTGAAGTGACAGCTAGAACTTTGCTATTAAATAATTTCCAAGATTCTTGTATGTAACTGCATACAAAGGCAACTGGTAATGCCACTCTTTTCATTGCTTCTCGCTAGTCGAGACAACAGGCATAAAAGGGAAATTGGGTAATACACTTCCATCAATCAAGGTTGGTCGGTATCTTTATACTGTATTCTCTGATTGGTGACAATTTATTGAGCTATTTCCCTGTTGCGACTGTTGTCTCAATCAGCACGTAGCAGTGAAAAGTGTGTTAGRTAAACCTTTGTTTTTCAGGGTACTGGGTACTGGGAAACGTTTCTTCAACAAAAGGGAGCTGATGTGATTGCTTTTGACAAAAATGATGTGTATCCTGAGCAAATGAGATATTTTCCTATCATGGTAAGGGAGCCATATCCTCTTCACTAGGGTAACAAATATGGGAAAACCAAAACTCCACAACTAATCTTGCAGCTTCCCTTTAAATATTTTTGTCCAGACAGGTGGTCCCAGTCTTCTATCGCAGTTCTCAGACAGAGCACTGATGTTGGGATGGCCTGATGCAGAAGGTATGTCCGCCTCATCAAATTTCATCAGTGGCATTATAGCTATACTTACAGAACCCTGTACAAAACTAGCCTCCTCCACAGGCTACCCCATATATTCTCCATTGGGATCCCTGTGGGTTAAATCTTATGGCAGAGAAGAACTAGGAATGAGAAACAAGATTTTTTTTGTCCTCACCACAGAAAGCCCAAGAAGCCTGCAGATGAGGCTAGTACAGAAACGAAAGAATGCATTTTCATTTTTGTTTTGCACCACAGTACTAATTCCACCACTTAAAAAGATAAATATTCCCATGCATTTTTCTTCTAATTTGAAACATGTAAATTGAAATAAATAAATGATTTGAAACAGAAGGATCAACATTTTCCTTGGACTGTCTCCAGCAGTACAAAGGTAACACCATCATCCACATTGGGGAGCTGTTTGGAGAGACATATTCAACAAATCCCTGGGGACAATCAACTTCACAGGGGTTCCAGTTAGAGCTGGGAGAAACTTTCCGGTGTATTTTAAGAGTTCAGCTACCAAATTGGCCAGGTTATCTGGATAGTATGACAGTATGGTCCAGGGTGACAGACACAACTGAATGTGATGGTATGCCAATGGTGAATGTATTGCCTTCAAGTCCAAGATATTATGGATGGGAGAAATAAGAAAGATTGATGGAAAGATAGAGAGACAGATACATATTCCCCAGCACAGTGTYATGTGGTATGGACCAGAGACCAGTGCAGGACAGACACAAATGAATGTAATGGTATGTTGATGGTCCAGGGTGACAGACACAACTGATTGTGAAGGTATGCCAATGGTGAATGCATTGCCATTAAGTCCAASATATTATGGATGGGAGAAATAACAAAGATTGATGGAAAGACAGACAGATACATATGGCTTTAGCACAGTTTCATGCAATATGGACTAAAATATAGCCCTAATTTCAACAACCTTCCATAATTCACTGCCATACACTGATTTGTTTACTTGAGGATGATAACTAAATAAGATAGTTTATTTACACAAATATTTGTACTTGAGTTGATAAGAAAAACAGTTTCAGTCTAGGGCCGTATGTGATTGTGCTAAGCATCTGTCTGTTTTAAGGTTAGACATTTGTTTCCTTGGTGGGCTACCTGTGGTATATAGATCAATGTGACCCTTTCAGTCTTGCCCAGAGTCTTCCAGATTTTTGTTCAATGCATGATTTGGCACTGATGATGAAGCAAGAAGGTGCTGGGGGACTCAAGGTCGAGACTGAATGTGACCAAGGATCTTTTCACCAAGCCCCCTCTTCCCTCCTTAATCACACAGTTATCTCGAGCACTAAATAGTAAAATAAGAGAGACACCAGCAGAGAATGTTAGGTACACTGTATGAACCAAAATGGTTCTTCTGAACTAAATAGCAACTAGTCTATAGATTTTGTTGAGAGAAAAATCTGTCTGTCATTTCTGAACACACTGGAGTAGCGCAGTATTACTGTTACAGTATCAAAAGGATATCTGCTGAACCAAAATGAAGACAACTCTGGGGTGTAATGTTATCCCATTCCAGACCACATGTCATTTTCTTAGTACAGATATAATTTCTTTGTGTAACACTTGCACATGAGAAAACACATGGCATCATGGATATGACAAAACAAAGAACATTTCATTTTTATTCTCAAGAGTATGACATATGGTCTAAAATGGGGAAACATTATGCCCAAGCTAAAGAAATCTATTGCTGAAGTTTGACTATCTATAAACATGACTATCTATTTAATCTAATAAATTTTATATTTTCCCCTAATGAAATTGAAAAGAATAAATTTGATGTCCAATGTGGAAAAGAAAGCATAATATTTGTCTATAGCCTCTTATGCAGATGACTTTTGTGATGACCCTAATTTGAACATCGGCACAGGAGGCTACCAACATGAAGGCACAAACATTGCTCCTTCATTGGTCTCCTGATGGCAAGGAATGCATGCCCTTGACAGCCTAAAACACTGACATTGTTTTTCTATTTTAATATTATCTGTCTTTTTAAGACATACTTACAATGTTACATGGTTCTTTTAGTAAGACAAATATACAAAAGCTTGACTGTATTATTCAATATTATAATAGTGTTATTATATTCTTTAATACAATGGAACTATATGACTGTATGTAGTGGGTCTTTATACCCCACCCATTGGTAATCCTTTTGGAGGTACTGGCTCAGGGGTATGTCTCTGGAAAATAAAATATTCAGAATAAGAGTTATATAATTCAATTAGCTACACAGAGTGCAAACGATATATTTGTGAAACACTAATTACTAAATTGTTCGAAACAGTGCTAGCTAAACAAAAGAAAACAATAGAATTAGCATAACTTAGCATACTAATGTTTCACGGATATATCATTTGCATTCTATCAATACAGATATGAGAAGGCAATACACTCAACAAAAAATGATCTATTTGACAAAATAAAAGACAAGATAGCTATTAAAAAATACCTTTTTCTTTTTTTTCTCTTTTTTCTTTTTCTTTCTTTCTCCATCTTCATGTTTTTTCTAATAAATGTAAATGAGGTTAGATTCGGCATAAACTACAGTCCCTAAATGAAATAACCATACCAGCTGACACTAACTACATGGAATACAGCTATGAAAAGGAGGTATTATATCTTGTTAAAAATGACAAAGTGAGTATCTAACAGAGAGCTTTTTCAAATTCCCAAAATACCACATCTTGCATTTCTTGATTAAAGGCTTGTTTACCTAAGGTTTTTTTAATTACAGCATCAAAATATTTGAACCAGATTAATACCAAGAGAAAAGCAGAAAATTTACCAAATCAACAAGGGCTGATCCAGCCAAAATTTTAAGGGGGGGGGGGGGGGGCTAATTGAGTTTCTTCCATCAACACAACGAAAAACAATAAAGCATCTAATTCTTCAGTTTTGTTTTGTTTTTTTTCTGCTGAAGGGGCTTTAGCCCCCCTTTGCTCCCTCCTCCCTGGATCCACCCTTGATCAACAATGCTAATGCTTAGGATTTCCTTTTACTGTAAAAGGCACATTCACTGGAACACTTGTTACCTGTTTTTTGTGTTTCTTTGAATCGTGACTTGTTTCTGCTTTGGAGGGAGCTATAAAAATATAATGATATCATAAGGATGTACAAAGAAAATTTTTTATATATACTAAATTGGACCAAAAATTGTCGGGTTGAATAGGATAGTAGAAAAATCCTGGGTATTTGGAGAGTGTTTGCATAGACACATGCATGACGTAAATTGTCAATTAATGAAGTTCAAAAAATTTAAAAAAAAGTGGTAACAATTTTCAGCCACCGTTTTCAAGGTTATTCTGCATTCATTGCTCACGGCACGGCCCATTGACCAATCAAAGAGTAAGATCATTTACCTATAGTAGAATCAATTGGAGTTTTAATATCAGTCTCCTGACTCCTGTGTTTCTTGTGTTTATGTTTCTTTTTTACTGGTTGTTGGTTTACAAACCGAAACTGTTCTGGAATCTAGCAAGAAAACATTCAACAAATATTAATCATTTCATCAACATATATCAAGTGGACATTGCTGGTGTTAAGAATGAAGCAAAGAATAAAGAATAAAGAATACAAATCTAGTTAATGGTATATGGGYAAGGACAGGCAGAATTTGTTGATAATTATTCTCAAAAGACATTATTTCCTCAAAAATGATAATAAATTCATGAGGATGGTGTTGCATGATAATGATGATGATAATAAAATAATATATGATGGTGGTGATGATGATGATGATAATAACATTTTGATTGGATGATGACAATGATGCTGCTGGTGATGATGTTGACTATAATCATGGTAATGATAATTCAATGCTGGATGGTGATGGTTATGATGATGGTGATACATACCAATGAAAAAGATAATGATGATGGTGATACATGATGATAACCTTAGATAATGAAGATTTTGATGATAATTTATGATTATGATAATGAGCAAGAAATTGATGATGTTACTATTCACAAACATGTACAATACAGATGGAGTACTAAGGTCCACATACATGTACAATACAGATGGAGTACTAAGGTCCACATACATGTACAATACAGATGGAGTANCCACATACATGTACAATACAGATGGAGTACTAAGGTCCACATACATGTACAATACAGATGGAGTACTAAGGTCCACATACATGTACAATACAGATCAATGGAGTATGAAACTATTACTTGACAACTGTACTCACTGGTCCAGGGTTAAGCCGAAAGCCAGACAAGGCATGGGTGGGGAGAGGAAGCAGCTCTTTTCCACCAATTGGAGGCTTGTCAATCACTGACCTTAGGCTATGAAAACAATTTGGATAAAAATAATTAGTAATCATCATAGAATGTCCTTCAATCTGTAAAGTGTTTGCATTCTTTTCTTCTTGTTTGATTTTATTTATAGAATCAAAAATTGAGAAAATAAATTCCATCTAGTCTCTTTCCATTGATTATGAATGACGTTATTATAATATTGCTAATGTTTCAAAATTTATGCACATATTTATCGGTTGACTATTTAAGCTTTCACTCTCATTTAATAGTGCAGTGCAACTGTGACGTCATAAAAACGAGGACAAAGGTGAAATTTGGACAAACAAACTTACAAGTTTACTTTCAGCAGATAATTTTCACAGCCGATCGCAGTTGATCTTAGTTTACATAAGTTATTATTGTAACTTTAAGTAAAAATAATAAAATCGGTTCGTATAATCCTCATAGCATTTAAACAGAATGCAATGTTTGTCCGAATCTTTAAGCTATTTTTAGAATCAGTGCGCCGATTCTTGATCTTGATAATGACGTGATGATGCCAAAACATTGACCACTGTTATCTCTCATTTGCTGTTATTGTCAAATCTTTCTTTTATTACCTATTATCTGGATTTCCTTTCTCATCAATATACCCTGCAATTAAATGAAAAACCAATGATGAGATATTGTAGTATTAGGTTAACAGAAACTGGGCCCGGTTGTACGAAGCCTGGATAGCGCTATCTGACGGTTAAATCTTATCCAGTGGATAAATTTATTGGATAACAGCATCGGATTATCCAATGGATAAGGATTCATCCGCCAGATAGCACTATCCAGGCCTCGTACAACCGAGCCCAGAACTATACTTTGCAGTTGCAGATAATATTAGTAAGAAATGTAAATTACTGACAGTAATATCCAAGGGAGCTTTAAATAGGGATATTGTTGAATTATGCATATTACTGTTAAAGGGACTCTGAGGTGCCAGACACATCATAGCTTAAAATGTACATCAAACCTTGTTGATTTTGAAAATCGAAATGAAAATTCCATGAAATGCTTTTTTGGGGTGATATCGTCAGTCAAAGTTGCAAAATGACTTAAGCTGGGCTCCCTGTGGAATATCACGGATTTGATGGCTTGGGATGCCTGGGCTGTGATGACGTCAGATAGTGGAACATGTTGGATAGCTGGAGCTGAATCAACCAAATTTCGCTATGGAAGTATGGCTGTTCTTTGTCAATTTGAGCCGGAAATTGCTTGAGGAGAAGAATATAATACACCCGATGAAAGTGTGATCGAGGACAGTGAGCTAGAAGAAGTGGCGAACGAGGAAAGGCTTCTAGGAATCGATTAAAGTCAACAATGTGTCGTGATGAAAACAGCTAGCTGATATGTGTTTATGTTGTTAAATGAGCTTATTAGGTAAAGGATTATGAGGTAAATGAAACATTTTATTTCACGCAAGATTTCAATCTTTTCTGATGTTAAACTCAACGTAATTTTTAGACGTGACATGCATCACGACTATCGTGTCTGAACCGAGATGTGCTTAGGACTGCATTTAATAGTTTCT